TGATCAAATTCGAACACAAATACTACCATTCGATTCATCTCGACTAAATGAGTCAAATGATAGTATTTTCGCTCAAATCCGATCAATAGACATCAAGATATTACGTCCTAAAGTGACAGTTTCATTATATTTAGAGCGTGAAAGTTTATGAACATAAAACACCCCCGATGTAGAAATTATATCAACTTTAAAAGGCGTAAATGAACAGCATTTGTGTTATTCTTTGTTTCAGAAATTTTTAGGATGATACGCATGATCTATAAAAAGTTAGGAGCGTTCGGATACTTATGAACGCTACTGTACTTTCACTGTCCAGCTATTCATTATATCAAGATTAATTAAAAAAAATTATAAAGTATTCGATTTGCATTTTTACTTACAATTAATCCACCAAAAGCATATATTAACGAACAATTGTTTTTTTAAGCGCACTAAAAGCAGTACGGTGAAACATCATCCCATTGAATGTATTATCATTTTGAGTGAATGCTGGTTTTGATGCGGTCCAATTTACAGAAAGATCCAAGGAAAAAGCATTGGTCTTGTTAATGCCAACGTTATAACTATCAAATAATATAAGTTTATTGTCGATAAATATTCCCTGCTCTTGTGTTCTTAAATTATTAGGCGGGTAGAATGACTGCGCATTATTGTTGAAATAAGGAAAATTAAATATAAATATAAATAAATTAATGGGCATAAGAACATGATTTTATGTTTTATTGATTTATTGGATTATTATCGTTATCAAAATTGAAAGTTAGTTATATGTCAACTACGTAGTCAAAGTAAAATGTAGTCTGAAGAAGTAAATCAATAGAGCTAACGCTATCGTACAATTGACCATTGTGAAACTCATTTTAAATTTAACTTTGGTGTAGCAAATTTTGTAATTTAGAAAGACAATGATTTGCATCTCATTAAAACCGGATAAATATTCCTGTTCAGAACAAAAAAATTTTAGATTAACGTTAACGTTAACGTTAAACATGTCTGTTTAACGAGAGCGACGTGTAATAACGATAATAATAAGAGTAGATCACTGTAAACTAGCTTTTACTATGCAACGGAGCATTACAAAGAAAAGAATCTGTACAAATAGAATTACAGTACTTGCATTTTCATCACTTTTTAAATTTTTGTAAAGAGAAAAAAATATCGAGACAAAAGAGAAAGATAGATATATTTTGTCATCATAGACATATTATTGAGAGACCTTTTAAAGACAGCAGCATTTATAATTATTTCGGCTTGTGCATTGTACACTGACCTACGGTAAATTTTTGAGTTTGAAAAGTATCTACGTATATTTTTTATTTAAATCATCACTGAAACGAAAATAAAAGTCGATTTTTGTAATATAAACGCCACATATCGATATATCGTTAAAAGCCTAAATAAACTGCTCACATAACTATAATTTAAAGAATAAATGTAACGTCAAATCAGCGATGCATTTTCGTTCTCCTCAAAAATAAAGTACAGTACGTACATATATATATTTTATATCGACTAACACGATACTGCATACAGATAATGATAATAGATTTAAATGATTCATCTGTATTATATCGATGTATAAGTCATACAATCTCATTACACCAGCTCATCCAATGCAGTCGTTGTACTACATGTACTAGGTTGCTTCGGTAAATCATGAATTTTGCAATTTTTACCAATGATATTATATTAATAAAGTACAAGCACAAAAATTCATTAACGAAAAATTCTCTCTCAAGTCACAAAGTTCTAACTTTCAACGAATTTCTTTTAATTGTTCAAAAGAACAATGCAAAGACTGGAATAAAATATTTTGTCGATAGCCCTTTAAAGATAAATTACTCGTCACTTCCGCCAACAAATTCATAACATAGATTTTCCAAACAGCAACGAAAAGAATGATCGAAAAATGCATTGGCCAGGCTTCAGGTCATGAATATGGTCTAATAAGTGGGACGTCGATGACACGATCAATGCCAAAAGCTTGAAGATTTGATGAAGAATTAGATTCTTCCAACGACAAGAATCACAGTAATTACTGTGTAATTTCGCAATCCATTTTATATGTATGATATAATGTTATTATTTATTGTAGAACGAGAATTTGCTATAAAATAGCCGTAATAATTGTCGCTTTCTTATAAATAATAATCAGGCAATTATTGCATTTCCCAAATAGCACAAAGTACATGTATAACAAATAAAAGATTAACACACGTATAATTGATGAGAATGTCAGCATAGCACTGCTTAAAGTACCTTCCCCTGTGAAAACTTTAAATCTGAAAGCGATTCTTTTAATAACTTGCTCGAATTATAATTTGGCGGAAAAATTTAAGTTTAAACTAGCGCTATACTTTGAAAGTTTCATACTGTATACCTCTGCATGCTGAATGCATTATTATTATGTGAAGAAATTTCTTTTCGAGTCCCGATTTAAAATTTGCTTATCGTTATTTATTATTTGCCAAGGAAACTTTGGATACATGCATTGATTACATCATCTGTGCATATACATACATTTGTTCCCATTACACATGTACAACGATATTGACAGCTAGATTTAGAATTCTCTTTTACGTTTATCATTATGGTTATGCGTTTAAATTGTCTTTTGCATCCTCAGTTGAGTCGACGAGAAATTTAAATATGTACGATTATGTGCGAAAAAGCAGAAGTTAAAATTAGATTTATCCTAAGAACGAAAAGCCCACAGGTGATGTGTCTTTTTTTTCAATGTTTGTTAGTTTAATTAACAGCGTGCATCAATAATGAATAACAAAAAGCAATTGACCGAGGGAGCGTTCTTGAGTGAAATCTTTCTTTTTTAGGAATCAACATTGAAGTGGATGAGTACGTACTTTTGCATCTGCAATGCACTCCTACATTTTGTCATTATACTTTTGTGTATTACAAAGAAACAAATATAATGACAATGTACGAGACGAGAAAAAAAAGTACGTATCTGTTGTTGCTGATTTTTACATCTTATTGAAAATTCGTAAACTTTTTTTTAGTCTCGTAATTTATGATGCAGGAAGAAAAGAAAAATAATAATATTCGATATGAATTATTACGGTCAATCGAACTTGACTATATTTTAACCAATGTAATTGAAAACAAAAGCGACATATTTTTACAAATAGAGAACAATGAAATTTTGTCAAACGATGAGAAGAATAAATTGAAACAGAGATTCATGCTTCGTAAAGATATTTACAATGTCACAACAATGAAAAGCTACCATTGTGAAAGATGCAACAGTACACAATCGTCGGAAGAGGAAAGATACGCAACAATGGACGAGTGTCAACATTGTACAAGTGAATTTATTCGAGAACAATTTGATAAATGGACTTCTGGGAATGAAAAGATTGACCGCGAAATCCAAGAAGCACAATTGAACTCTCCCGTTGTTCCTTTATCTTTGGGAGATTCTCCCCGTATAATAGAGTGGATTCCGTTTGAAGATTTATTAGATGTAAAACCGATAAATACTATTGGCAAAGGTGACGTAACGATTTATAAAGCGGTGTTGGCGAAAGGATTCGCTCAATCCTTTGATTATGACAAGCGAACTATTTTACGAGCGCCTCAAACACGGGTGGTGTTAAGGCATTTAGTGAAATCCGAGCAAATTAATGAAGAATTTTTACAAGAGGTAAATTTATTGATGTAATGTTTAATATAATGATTCTTAAGAAAGTAATATGCTGATGCAATGTTTAATATAATGATTCTTAACAAAGTAATATACTGATTAATTTGTATGATAAATGCATGAAATATTTAGTTAAAAGAACATTTGCTACTTCAATCTCGACGATTTGACATAGTTGACGAATTAGGCATTACAAAAAACTCACAAACTGGAGACTACTTCCTAGTTGAACACGAGATGAAACAAAACCTCAAGGAATACATGATAGAAAACTATTCCACCATAACATGGACAGAAATCTACGATGTATTCACTAATCTCTCGCGAACACTCCATGAAATTCACCATTCGGGAATAACACATCGAAACATACACTGGGGAAATGTATTATTACGAGAATACGACAATGCCTGGGTGTTTTCCAATCCTGGTTCGGCCTCGTTGGCTAACGACAATACTCAAGCAAATAAATTGTCGGTGTATGGGAAGTTACCGTTCATGGCTCCAGAAATTCTTAAAGAAAACGCATACTCTGCCAAATCTGACATATATGCTTTTGGGATGTTGATGTATATGGTGATGACGGTTGGTTCCTTTATCGGTTACGCGGATAATGTGTTTGATTTAATCTATAGAATATGTAATGGCAAGTGGCCAATGTTTCCATCTGCGACGACGTCAGCGCAAAAAAGATACCTTGATTTAGTTGAAAGATGCTTAAAGACGGATCCTGCGAAACGACCGGATGCACGTGAATTGATGGAGTTTTTCTATAGAGAAAATAAAACTCAAGAACCAAAACATAAATTGTTGTTTTTTGAAAATTTAGTCCCTGCTGAAACTCCGAGGAAAAATAACGACTATAGTGTTAGCAAATATTATTCTGTTGATGATATTCGTAACCATTTAAACAAAAGGCAACAAGATGATGAAAAGGGTATGCAATGATTTAATGATTTTATGTAAATTTCGCACAAACTTTTTATATACAAAGCTCATCTAGATTCGAACCAAATAGAATTCACTAAACATCAGTCTCACCACCCAAAATTTCCGTCGTCTGATTTCAATTCATCCACTCTTTTTTCGGAATCGATCAATGACACGACGACAACTGAAACGGGTGACGATATACAAAACTTTGAGATTTTGTTGAATGAAAAGTTTCAACTTGATAGTGGTATAGACGACATTGGTGGTGGTAGTGATTCATCATTTTTTGCACCAGGGTTCAGGTCGTCTTATCAGAAAAGTAAGTAACTTACAAATAAGATTTTTTTTTTTATAGCTTCTAAAAATTAAAATATCCTATCTTCTATAAGGTAATAATATTAATAACGAGAGTAACAAGTATACTACAGATAAAGAGCATACTACATATAAAGAACAACTACGACCTTCTGATAATATGCAAGCAAAAGGTATATCATGAATTATAACTTCAATGATGTTTTAATTAGCATTAACCAATTCTTTCATTCAACTAGAATACAATAACAGGAATACGCGAAGTAATGAATCAGACCCATTATCGCCGTCGTCAACGACATGGTATCAAAAGATATTTCGATCCTTGTTTTTTTGTGTAAAGGACGAGCAGTAGGTTATATTATTTTTTTGTATTATTTAATGTATTTCAGTAGAGATTATAATTTATGTAGAATATAATTTAGAAATTTTTGATCGTATTCTTTACGTTTAGGATTGTATTTAATAATTATATATATTATCGTTATTATATAATAAAAAATCATTTTGGGTAAAAATAATATAACGTGACGTGACATGTACATCCCCAGACCCTTCCCTAACGCTAATGTCACTGTTAATTGATGAAAACCATCCTAAATGCAGTCCAAGCATGGCAAATCCTTCTATATACGTAAATGCCTGGTCCCGAAAGTTTGTATTTACGGGTGAGTTCACTGTACGTATTTGTAAAAACTTCAATTCAAAGATAACGACAAAATAGCAAGTGGTTTGTACTCTTTGCTTTGATTACAATTATTGGCTTTTCTCAAGGAAAGCAAAACAAATATCTAATTCCATGTATATGGTGCATTCACATATCAGAAGTCATCGTTACCGAAAAACATAATTTTTGTCGTCGCCGGTAAGATTTAATGGATTATTACAGTATCTCAAATCAAATTAACAAATTGTAAATTTGGGTTAATTGCCTTTATTTTTTCTTGGCATGTTGTTTTTGTCTGAATATTGTTTTCGATAGAAATACACACAATTACACAACAAACAATAAACATATCCATAACTGAAGATGGAAGAATTATTCGAGTTCATACAGTAAGACCTCCATAAATACACCCTCTATAAGTGCACACCCGCCTTAAATGCACCCTTTTGTCCGGTCCGAGCTGGGATCATAGTGTTAAATGCACACCCTCTATATTCTACACGTGCAATGAATTTTCCGGCCCATTATATTTGAAGCTCCGTAAATGCACGACACGTGACAAAAATCGCGTGCATTAAATGAAAATTCGATTAGTGAACAGTTTGGAAAGATTTATTGGATCGATCAATTACGTACCTAAAAACTGAACCATCCAAATGCCCCTCTCTACCGTCACATCGTCACATTAGAAAAACTAAGATCTCGATATGTCTAATTATTCAACTAATGGGATCAATATTGAGGACAAGTTGATTTTTAATAAGGTAAAGTTTACATTTCTTTCAATAACTTTATCTAAGGACTCAACGTTAATAAGTTTTTGATATTAAGAACATCGAGTAAAACGAACAAATTGTATTATCCATCGGATACTGATTGTATCGAAATCACACCAATCATTAATATCGACGAAATTTCTGATAAATTTCAAAACTTTTAGAAGATTTGACAGAATCAAAAAATCTCTAAAAATAAAAGAAATAGCTGAAACTCCAAAAACAACAACACTCCCAGTTAAACTTTTAATTGATGCTTTAAATGCTTCAAGTGATCCGACACCATTCACTAGTTATTATGAAAGGAAAACTGCATCTTCGAACATGGATTGCAGTTCTAGAAGCTGTGAGTCATGCTGGAATTCGGCTAACAAGTAAAACTCGCGAAAGAGTGTACTCTGAATTACCCGAATTCGCAAAAATTCACAATAAAACAACAGAAATATTTAAAGATGGTGTTGAAAATGTGTTTAAGCCAAAGTTTTCTGAATTTAATCCTGAAATGAAAGAAGAATTAGCACATTTTCAAAACATGAACATCGATTTTCTTCTTATATATATTCGCGATACTTTACACATAATGAATGATGATGAATCAACGACTTCTGAAATTTGGCGTCGTGCTAAAGCTTTGTTATCTCAACTTTTTCCATTCGGTAAATTAGTAATGTCCTCAGCAACGTCAGGTATAATAGTATCCGGAGAATTAAACTGGGAAAATTGCTTTAATGGAATTCAAGAGGCATTTTCTTTCAAACATCCTGTATCATCTTGGTACCGAGAATGGAGGGTTGCATTGATATTGGTGTATACTTTAAAAGAATGGTCTCTCGAATTAAATAATTCAAAATTGTAGCAATACGGTGAACCTACTATTATGGAGTATATTTGGCTTCAAGCTGAGAATGAATGGACGAATTCACTAAATGACGCACAACTAAGCGTGTATCAAAAGCTGAACAACTCTGTTCGTTTTATTAACTATCTAGCTGATTTTGAACCACTGGCGTTTCCTTTTTCTTTGCTGTTTGGAATTCTGGATATCGCTCAACAATTACCAAAGCAGACAACACATAAATCTGCTTTGGCATTATGTTATTATTTAGCATTAGAAGCTCTAGAAAAATCTAAATCACATTTTATCAGAGTTAAAGCAATAGAGGTGTTGTTGTCTTTACATGTTTTTAAAAATGAATGATATTGTGTAATTGACAATGACTTAAATAACTTGGCTAAGAATTTTAATGAAATCGAGCAACTGGAATTATATAAACTCAAAAAATATATTGAAGCCAAAATTATAAATGAATTGAATTTTCAATCAAATCACAACACACAAAATAATGCTACGTTAATGCTAATTAACGGTAACGGTAAGGAAAAGAATCTTAAATAATGAAATGCAGAATCAGGATCAAGTAATACTTGATATTCTTGTACATGTACATGATTTAATATGTAATGTAACATATCAAATTACTGGAGATTTTTTGTATTGGAGTGTGATCACATCATTAGTAACCTTGCTTTGGATAGATGGAAACTAATTCATACACTAAAGAACTTACCGATCTATTAACCACAATACCATAATAACATTAACTCTGATAGCATACAGTCTTTACCAAAATCAGCTACACTCAAAAAATTATCTTCAAGACTTTTATATATTAATGAATCTATTAATAATGAACTAGAAATCGATTAGGGTTCCACAGTAGAAACATTGAGTATTTTCTGTTCAAAAAATTAAACAGTGATTCAAAAAATCTTCTTCGTTTGAAAAGATATTGGATAATAATTTATGATAAAAATATCTCGAATACTACATCCAACTCAACGCAAAGCAAAGCAAATAAGATATTAAAGAAGAGAAATGACATTACGTATGCAGCTTTTTGGCTATCATGCGTGTTGGAAGTTTATCCAAATAGTATACTAACTCGATATTCTAGAGCTAATGTTCTTATGCGTCTCAACGAAATAGATTCAGTTCTGAAAGATTTAGAATTTATATTTAATAAAGAAATTTTTAACAAAGTATTAGCTTTTGTTCAAAGAAGACAAATTAATATTAAGCAATCCAATTATGATGAGGCACTTGTAGATATAAATCGTGCACTTACATTTGAGCAAGAAAACTTATCAGCAAGATTTTCAAGAGCTGAGATTTTTTACAAATATGAAGATTTTGATGCAGCATTTGAAGATTTAAATTATGTTCTTAAAAAGACAATTCTAATAATGTATTGATATTTATTCTATGAGGAAAAATTAATATAAAGCAATTAAAGTATGACGAGGCACTTGTAGATATAAATCGTGCAATTATATTTGAACCAGAAAACTTGTCAGCGAGATATTCAAGAGCTGAAATTTTTTACAAATATGAAGATTTTGACGCAGCACTTGAAGATTTAGATTATGTTCTTAAAGACAATTCTAACAAAGTATCAGCTTTAGTTCTACAAGGAAAAATTAATATTAAGCAATCTAAGTATGATGATGCACTTGTAAATATAAATCGTGCACTTACATTTGAACCAGAAAACTTATCAGCGAGATATTCAAGAGCTGAAATATTTTACAAATATGAAGAATTTGATGCAGCACTTGAAGATTTAAATTATGTTCTTAAAAAAGACAATTCTAATAATGTATTGGCATTTATTTTAAGAGGAAAAATTAATATTAAGCGATCAAAGTATAATAAAGCACTTGTAGATATAAATCGTGCACTTACATTTGAGCCAGAAAACTTGTCAGCGAGATATTCAAGAGCTGAAATTTTTTATAAATATGAAGATTTTGATGCAGCACTTGAAGACTTAGATTACGTTCTTAAAAAAGACAATTCTAACAAAGTATTAGCATTTATTCTAAGAGGACAAATTTATATCAAACAATTCAAATATGATGAAGCACTTGTAGATATAAATTGTGCACTTATATTTGAGCCAGAAAACTTGTCAGCGAGATACTTAAAAGCTGGATATGAAATATAATAAATAGAATGAAATATAATTAAAATAGTATAAAATATAATTAAAATAATATGAAATATAATCAAAATAAAATAAAATAATATGAATTATAAAATGAATAATATAAACTAAAAGAAATCATAATTTGTAAATTATATATTTACTAGTAATTTAATATAAATATATTTTAATAATATAATTAATTAAAAGTATTTTGCTTGTTGTTGCAATTATTATTTATCTTATTTAAATATTCTACAAGATATTATTGAGTTTTCAAATAATTAACTAATATAAATATTATTTTAATTAAGTTAAAAGAGTATATTTGTATTTTAATTAACTTTTTCAGATTGATATATTAATATAAAGTTATATTTTATTATTTTAATAATTTATTTTGCAATTCAAGATTCAGAATTTGATTATTTATAAATAATATATTATAATTAATTATTACTTCAAAAAGAATTTCAAGTAAATAACATCAAAATTATTTAATTTTATTACAAATATCAGTATATATATCCAGAATTTTTTATTACAAGTAAAAAATCTTATTTTTATTATTTTTTATTCATTTAAATTTTGTTCTATATTTCTATGAATCTATTATTAACTATAAAAAAATTTAATAATCTATTTTTTTCTTCAAATCAATCATCTTCAAAAGGTGATTTTTCATACTCTCTACCAACCTAAAAAAGAAATCTTTACTTAAACCTGCTCATTTCTGATAAATTATTACTAAAAAATCATCTTTAGAGAGTTTTTTTTGTTAACTATATATTTGATTCTTTTTTTATCTTTTTCTTTAGTATTGTCTACAGATTCTTAATGGAATTTATATTTAATAAATAAAAAGATCAATCAAGAATTCAAATATAATAACTTTTAAAAAGATTAGTTATTTTATTAGCCTTGTGAATTGGAAAGTTATTCTGTTAAAAATGCAACTAATGATTTGCTATAAAAACATAAAGAAAAAAGTGAATTTCAAGAATTTCTCAATATTTTTTAGCATTGAGATTTTCAGTAAATAAGATGAGTACAATTGGTTCTTGTACACAAAATGCACTTTAAGTATAAACTTTATAAGAGTGCTTTACTATATTTCAGTGTGATCATAAATAGTCATGATAATATCTTACTAATTGAGTATTCCAAAATATTTGAAAGATTATTTCATTAAAAAATATAGTATATGAACAATTATCCTAAATATGTCTTTGTGTCTATTCAAAATGAGCTGTAATATGATGAGATTATAAAAGAAAAACTGAAAACAAATAACAAATTTCTAATTGAAGATTTTTTTCTAATATATATTGAATAGTACAAACAGAAATTTTTAGGTCAGAATTTTTTTGAATAAGTCTTTTAGTTATTTTACCTATAGTGACTGTTTTATTAATCTGTACTATTAAATCAAAATGACATTGCTATTTGAATATGAGAATTAGAGATCTTTTAGATTTGAAAATAACATAATATTGAATTTTTTCTTAAATTAATTAACTAAATCATATACTATGAACTTCAAATAACCTGGTATATATATAATTTTAATAGGTTACTAAATATTATTGGCTTAAAATTGTCTTATGATTGTTCTTTATATTTCAAATTTCAAATTATATATCATTTTTGCTAGTTTTTTTACTAACAAGTATGAAAATAGATCTTTAACAAGTTAGAATTTGTGTATTTATTTATATAATCAGTACAATAATACGAATTTTATATAAAACTAAAATTGATAATATTATGTAACTTTTTGTATGCTAATCAAAATTCTAAATATATATAATAATATCTATATAAATTTTTTATTAATTTTAGAATTATATTTGTATAAGTAATTATTTTTTCTTATTAATATTTTTTTGAACTAAAATTGCTTTAAGTTTGTTATTAGAAATATTAGTATATAAATAAAATTTTTATATAAAGTCAAAATAGATTTTTGTTTGAGTTTTTAAAATATATTTTCTTGTTTATAACTTTTTTTAAAAGTAATATTATTTTAAAATAATTTAAATAATGATTTTGTAATTTGAACATATTTTTAATAAATTTTTTATAGTATTTAACTATCCAAAAAAATTTTAATTATTTTATAGTATGAATTTGAAAAATATTTCTAATTTAATTAATAGTTAATGAATTTAATAAAATTTTATAAGCAGTTACAATATGTTCAAGAAATAATATTTCACTTTAATAAAATTATATTTATTTTAATTGAGTTTAAGTCCAATTTTATAAAGCTTTTCAAAAACTTTTTAAAGATATTTTAAATATTTCTCAAATATTTATAATAAATATTTATATTATTAATATAAATTAATACAAATTAATTTTTATATTCTATTAAAATAATTATTATTATTTATTGAAATATTGTAGAATTATTATATAATTTAAAAAAATTCAAATAATTCTTATTTTAAAATAAGTTATTTTTAATTAACTATTTTCTTTATTAATATTTATCAATATTTAAAGAATAAGTCTAATAATAAGAATTATTTGAAGTTTCAAGATTATTTAGTATTTTATTAATTTAAAAAAGTAAAGATATATTTTTTTGAGTAATAATATTTAATTTTTGATAATTTATATAAAGTTATTTCTTGTTATTCTTTCTAATTATTATAATAATTAGAAATATTTAAAGATTTATTAAAGATTTAATAATTCTAGCTTTTAATATTTGTTATATTTTTTTTAATAAATTCTTGATCAAGTATTATAATTCAATATTATTATCATTTTAAATTATTTACATGTTATTTATATGTTTTTATTAATTAAAAAATGAGAAAGACAAAAGTTTTATAATAAAAAACTAAAAATAATTACTAAAAAATATTTAATATATTTATATTATAATAAACTAGAATGATATTTAATAATTTTATTAAAATAATATATTTTATTTTAAAACTTCAAAAATTATAATACAAATCAATAAAACTATCTTTCAAGTTGATAATAATAGTTTATTAAAAGTGTTCTAACTTTTAAAATTATAAATCAATACAAATATAACTTTATATATTATTCTGAAAAAGATAAACTTATTGATTCTAAATTAAAATGTATAATATATTTATATAAATTAATTATTATATAACACTACTAGTTTTATTATTACTGTTATCATTAATAAACAAAATTCTTTGATTCTAGTTTTTTAAAATAAAATAGTAAAAAATAAGCTGTAAATATTACTAAAGTCAGATAAATATATTTCTAATATTGTTAATTTTTAAATTAATAAATTTTTTAGTATTATTATAGCAAATTTCTATTACGATTATTAATAATGCTATAAACTTTTCAAATCAATAGAATTTTCAGTAAAACAGCAAATTTCTATACAATATTACAAATTTCTTAAACTAATAAATTTTTATTATGATCTTTAATAATAATGTTATAAATTTTTAGTAAACTAATAGTATAATATTATAAAATACAGATAAAGATAATAGACTTTATATAACATAAACATATAATCTTCTTCATGCTTGTTTTTGTTAAAATTCAATATTTATTAATAATTTTAATATTTTTTTAATATATATTATTATTTTTCAATATTTTTTTAGTATTTTTTCATTATTTTTCAGTAATTTTTCATTATTTTTCAGTATTTTTTCATTATTTTTCGGTATAATTTCATTAGTTTTCAATTTATTTTATATTAATTTCTTTAATAAATATTAAAATGTTCAATATAAATATTAAAATATTTAATATAAATATTTTTATTAATAATTAAAATAGTATTAAAAGTAATAAATGACATATATTACAAAAATATATAAAATAGCAGTTTATAGATTATTAATAAAAACAGATTCATATTACAAACAATTATTCTTCAAGTAAGCTACTTGTAAAAAAAGAATTCACATTGTATATGATTGTTCTCCAAGCAAAATTAAACTTGAATTATTATGTACAATTATTCTCATTCTAAGTAAATTATTACTTGTAAAACTCTTTCTCTCATTTTCTTTATATTAATTATAAAATTAGATTCTTTATTATTTTTAAGAGTTTAAAACTTTGTTTAGAAAATAAAAATTTTATTTATAAAAGCAATAATTACAAAAACTCTCAAATACTCATCTAAAATCTATAATCTTTTTTTTTTCCTTTAAAAATTAATATAAAAAATAATATTTGTTGATATCAGCACAGATTTTAGATACTAAAATAAATATTACTTAGTCTAATAATCTTTTCCAGAGTCTTGTTATATTAGAAATCTCTCAATTTGTTCCAACTTAATCAAAAGTACTATATTTTTACATCCGGTCTTTGGGTATGTTCGTGCTGCTGAAAAAGTTTTTAAAGGATAAATATTTATTGTCGCAAATAATCAATCCGAAGCAGTTGCAAGAGTCACCGGATATAAAAGTAATAAAATTTTATTGTGCACAAACTTCTATCTTTCATTTGACTTCATTATTATTCAATTTTTTCTCTGATTAATCTAGATGACCCGAACAAAGTAATCTCATTTGTCGAACCCGACCCTGCAATGTAATCCATATTTTATATTAAATATTTAAAGTATAAAAGTGATAGAATAATTAATAATGATTGGTACCAGTGGTTATAAAAAGTAATCAAATTATTGCAAATCTCAAACACTTGCTGGAAGTTGATAAAAATATTTAACATCCAAATTTGTTAAAGTTAATTAATTTTCTTACAGTACTTTCCATAATAATAATATAGTATATGTACAATCATTTCTCCATATGCTCACATCATTGGGACCAGAAAATGCAAGTTTAAAGAGGTTATTACTAGTGTTTCGATGAACTGAACTGAACTGGACTTTTGGTTATGTTTGAGTTCAGTTTGAAAACTGAAAGAATATTTAGTTTGTGTGATTAAGTTTGGTTCGAATTCAAGCTCTATCCCACAAAGTAATATATTTCTGGCTACAAAATATTATAACAAAAAATTAATATTTATGGAATAATAGAGAATTTACGATACATATCGTAAACGACAAAATTAAAACGGTTAATTAAAGCTGTAGACCATGTTTTTGGTTGAGATTTATGATATTATAAAGCATTTACAATGAAGATTTGTAAATGGGAGAAAATTTAAATATTTTAGTTTTGTCAAAATAAACTTTTATTCTACAATATAGAACATAATAATTGAATGTAATTAAAATTGTAGTCCATATTAAACTGAACTTTTATGGTAAGTTCGAACCCCAAATTGGCACACGCCGTCGTTTTATCTTGATAGACGTTTCTATACGCGGAAATTAGTTCAATTCAAACAAAATTACCGCTATTTCATTACTTGATATGCTAAATCAAGTGATAGTAAATTCGTTTGAATTGGATTCTGGTTCCCGAGATATCACGTAAAACGTTAAATTTATTAGAAATGAAACGGAACATATAAAAATAAAATTTAACGTTTTTTCGTGGTATCTCGGGAACCAGTGGTTCAGTTCAAACGAATTTACCACCATTCGATTTAACATATCAAGGCGAAGTAAATAGCAGTAATTTTGTTTGAACCATTGGTTCCCGAGATACCACGTAAAACCTTTAAATTTTAAGATCGAAACAAACCGGAAAATAAAAAATTTCCGGATTTTCCAATTTTAAAATCAGAAATTTTTATTTTCCAGACAAAAGACAGATTCGATTTTATAGTGTGGTAGAGTTGGAACTTCTATTAGGCTATCAAGAGTTCAAGGCCCATAAGAAAACTCTAATTCACACGTTGGTATAACCCGCTCCGATATTGGAGCAATTTTGGCTAGAATACTGTTTTAATTATCATCAACGAAAAAAATCAATTGATAGAAATAGAGTTATTTTTATCAGAAGTACAAAGCGTAAAAGTGGTTTTATTATTAGTGACATTTGGTTCCGATGGTTATAGAAATAGGCAAATTTGGATGACAGTTGCGAGCACTTGTCAGAAAATTATTATAAATGTCAAATATTAAAATACACGTCTATAGAATGAATGGCTAATACTCGAATTATAATTTTATTTAAAGCTTTGTATATAAACAACCGATGAAATCATAATTTCTTTATAATAGATAATATAAATGTACAGTATGATAGTTTTCTCTTGATATTTAAACGACATAGTTTTGTATTAATAATATAAATTCAAGGATATTGTGAATTAGGCTTAAAAGCTAGAGAAGCTGCATAGCTATCTCTATTAGTAAATTGATTTTTAACATAATTCGGAACCTGCGAATATTGGATATTTTGATTATTAATCTCGGCCAAGTTGCTATGAATTGCAGGATTAATTTGAGTAGGAAATCCATTAGTAGTCATATTTGTGGCTCTTCTTCGCTTGCGAAATAAAAATATTATAAAACCTGCAAGAAAAACTATGACAATTGATCCGACTATGGAAATAATTATTGTAGTTTTTTTCTGATAGTGTAGGACTTGATGTGGCAGTAGATAATGTTGCAGAACTTGAGCTTTGTGATGATGGGCTTGGAGTTGCTACAAATTTATCAACCCATACATTATCTTTTAAATCCAAGACCTTGATAACTTTTCTAATAGGATTTGTGGTATTAAAATATCCTTAAATTTTTAAAAGAAAAATTAATAACTATTTATTATTTAGCTTTTAATTATATGTAATTTAATAAAATACATACCTAGGCATACAACCATAAAATTATTATAAATGACAGTCGTAGGAAACGTCGACACATCATCAGTGCTAGGCATGTTTCTAGTATCAAACTCTGAGAATTCAAATGTTTGCAAATTTAAAGTGATCAAATAATCACTTGGAATGCCTGAAGAATTCGATAATGAACCACCATATAGAATTATGCTTTGATTATCGGACGCTATTATTTATAATAGTTATTCATATAAGCTTATGTGATAGTTTAAACATTTATTTTGCTAAATACTTTCTTACCTAGAACGGCTGAGTGAAGATAACGGTTATTTATATATCCATTAGTTGTCGCTTTCTTGTAATTTAATAGTTAATTAGTACTTAAAAAATTACAAATAGTTTATTCACAAAACTCACTCTTATAGTCCATGGATTATTTGTATTGAGAGTATCATATATCAAAATCTTTAAAAGAAAAATGAAATTTAACATTTTTTTATCAAAAAAAATATAATAAATCATGCCATACCTCGCGTATATCGACACATATAGTGTTATTCGAAAAAGTGCAACCAATGTAGTAAATTTTGCCATCCCTATAAGTCACTGAATAAAAATATCTTTGTACAGGAACATAAGAAGGAAGCGTTCGGCTCCATGTTGCATCAAATGTGTCAAATATGTACATGGCTTGATCTGTTGCAGAAAGAGTTTTTCCACCCCAGATATAAAGTTTTCCTTTGTCATCAAAAATCGAACTTAAAGTGGCGCGTACGCTTGGTAAAGTACCTCTGAATGTAACAGGCGAAATTGAAATTGGATAGGACGTTACATCAATTTGATAAAAGTCGTTTACAAAATTTCCTCGATCCCAATTACTTTCATTGGTCGGCTATTTATTATATTTCAAAATTAATTAAAAAATATTAAAATGTAAAATATTCATTTTGCATTCACACTTACAATTAATCCACCAAAAGCATATATTAACGAACGGTTGTCTTTCTTAAGCGCACTAAAAGCACTACGGCGAAACGTTACAGTGAGTGAATTATTGCTGTTGCTGATGTGGTCCAATTTACAGAAAGATCTAAGGAAAAAGCATTGGTCTTGTTAATGCTAACATCAAAACTATCAAATAATATGATTTTGTCGTCGATAAATATTCCAGGCTCTGGTTGTGTTAAATCATCAGGCGAGTAGAATGACTGTACATTCATTGTAGAAATCAAGGACATTAAATATAAATAAATTAATGGGCATAAGAACATGATTTTATGTTTTATTGATTTGACTATTATCGTTATCGTTATCAACATTGAAAGTTAATTTATATCGATACGTACGTAGTCCAAAAGTAAATTTCGTGTAAAATGTAGTCCGAAAGAAGTAAATCAATAAAGAGCTATCACATATCGTACAATTGACCATTGTGAAAAACTTAACCTGGTAAGTTAATTTTATACATTTAGTCAGTTATCTTAGAAAGACAATGATTTGTATCTCGTTAAAACCGGATAAATATCCCAGAACAAAAAATAATTGATTAAATGTGATCTTTCGTTAACCAGATCTCTCGCTAAGTCGAAACAAAAAGTTTCAGCCCAACATGTCTGGTTTAACGAGAACGACATGTAATAAGCCAATATGCTACACGTTATACATGTACGTACGTATACGTACATGTAACATAGTGTTATGTGAATTCGTATTTCCTATAAACGGCAATTTTTGGGAGAGCAAGAGTTTTGGACGACAATTAGTGTTGCCTGTGCCGATATCGGTATGTTAAAATGGTTACTTTAACTTCTAACCTAATTGGGTTTTCCTAATTACATGTATCTATTACACGTGTCTTTTCCAAGATCGATTACCGTCGTCGATCCAAACAATGCCTTTGGTCCTAACCGTTAGTCAATTCAATCAATTATTACAACGAATTTTACAAGTCTTATTTTACTTGGAGAGCAATTGTGCGCAATAATTCTGAGATTTATTGAGGCTCGTAAACCTTTCTAATATACATTTTTTTGAGTTTACATAGTAGTATTATTTTTCTATAAGCTACGATTTAGACTAAACAAAAAGAAAATACAATAAATTAATAGCATTGTTTAGAAAAAAATGTAGGATATAATTAAGGGTTTTGTTTAAGAGTGAGATCGCAACAATTAAAAATGCAAGACAAATTAAAAATAATGTTTAAGAGAGAGAATTGTGACATAAATAAAAGAGATATAAGATAAAATGTTTAAGAGAATCTTGATGAGAAAGAGAGAAAGTTTTGTGATAAAGAGAGAAGAAAATTGTGATAAAGAAAGAAAATCCTGACAAAAATAAGAGAATATCAGATAAAATGTTTAACGTTAAGAGAATCGTGATGAAAAAAGAGAGATATAAATATGGGGTGTTTGAGAGAGAAACATTGGACCTATAACGCGGCCCAAACTGATCCTACCAAATTAAGAGGATCGTTAAAATGGTGTTACGAGTGTAACAATAGAACGTAGCGGGTAGATCACAAACCTGAAATCTATCGTTATCCAAAATCATTGCAATGAAAAGAAATTGTGCAATAGAATTACTTTCATTTCCTAAAGAGAAACCAGATATATTTTGTCATCATAGACATATTATTTTTAAAGACAGCATTTATAGATATTTCGGCTACATTGGGGTGATAGATATTTTATGTAGATCAAATCTATTTGAGACAGTAATAAATTTTGTTAGTACAGATTATAACTTTTCAAGGAAAAAGATATTATTCTTAAAATAGTATTAAACTATGGTATAAAGAATATAGTTTAATTGTATGTTGAGTTTTTTTAACAATTCAATAATAAAAGCTTATAACTTTTCAAGAATAAGAGATGTTATTCTCAAAATAGTACCAAGAGATATAATTTTAACCTACATTGAGTATTTTTACATTTAAATAATAATAAAAATATATTTATAAAAAAATCTGTACATGTATAACAAAATTTATTACATGTACATGTATATATAATGATAGAGATTATTTAGAGAATGACGATTATTTGAACACTTAAATGATTATTGCTTAATAACTTTTAGAAAGTTTTAGGAAAAATGAACAATGTAAAATACTAACCTTAAAAGTAGTATATAATTAGCATAATAATTCAAAACTGTACAAAAAGAAGCATTCTCGAGTCTTTAGAAAGATATGCTTTGATCTAATAAAATAACAAAGTTCTTGTAATAATAATACTTGTGAATACACTATTATTTTGTTTTGTGATCAAACTTCAAACCTTGTGAGTAATTAGTGGATGCTTCTCCACTCTAAATAAGTCATCAATTTCTTTTGAATTGTTAGTTTGGACAGGCCATATCAATAAGTACTGTAGAATTAATTTTGTTTTCTTAGACAGACTATATCAATAAGCTCTTTTGAATTGTTTTTTCGTATTGAATTTTTCTTGGATAGGCCATATTAATAAGTCCTGTCACATTTGTGAATATATCAATCATTATTAAATAAACAAGATTTTATTATAATGATTTAACTCTTATTACAAGAGTAATTCTATTTTATCTACTCTTTCAGTCACCCCTCCCCTTATTGTTGAAGAAAAGATCGATTTGCATACAAGTCGCCACGGGAAACCTTTAGAACACCCAAAGAAACCCTTTGATTGTAAATAATTTAGTCTAGCTCTCATCCCGTTGTGAAAACCCCTCTTTAGTGAATCATTATAGTAAAATGCATCAATACGTAACGCAGACAAACTATGTACGTACTCTGTCATTCAACAAAATGTTAATATTGATAATAACCAAGAAACTATTGCCAATATGAAGTTTAATAACTCTGGTAGTGATACTAATGCCAAAAGTAACTGATATTGATCCAAATTTGAATGATATTTATGAAACAACAGAAATACATGTAATGAAACGGATACGGAATCTCAATCTGATGACAATACTTCAATTGCTTCTATACCATTTTTACCACCTAATATCTCTACGAATTCAACTAATCAAAGCATAATTTCAACGAATCAAAGTATAACTTCAACTATTCCAACGGAAAGGGAAAAAATCAACATGCAATGAAAAACAAAACCAAAGACCAGTTATGCTGTCGTCGTCGTCGTCATCGTTGTAAATCTGTGCTTGAGAATCGATTCCTATCACAACTTGCATGCAAATATTTGACAATTCCTGCCACATAGTTCTATCTGAATGTCTATTTTCAAATTTGGGAAACTTAATTACACCTGAACGAAATCGATTAAATAGCTGTAATGCTAATAAATAAAAATTGATTAATAATAATTTTCGATTCTTAGTATATGTACATGTATTAAAAATAATACGTAATGGTAATAGCGATAGGATCTACTTGAGAATCGATTAATCGAGTTTATTTACAATTATTAATCGATTTTAGAATCGATTCTGGGTTGAGAATCCCCACATAGGATTACTTGGGGGGGGGGGGGGGGGGGGACGCAAAGTTATTGTGAAAAATTTCTTGAAGCGAGTACCTTCACCTCACAAATATGCAGAAATGTTTTAGCTCATCTAGGGATAGGAATCGATTCTAAATTCGATTAATAATTTCGATTAATCGAATAATCGATTAATCGTTTTAAATAAATTCGATTAATCGATTCTCAAGTTCTACTAAACAGCTATTTTCGATTTCGTTCGTGTGTAATTAAGCTTCTCACATCTGAAAATAGACATTCAGGTGGAATTGATATGGCAAGAATTGTGAAAGAATTGGATATAGCGATAGGGATAGGAATCGATTTTCAACCAAAAATTGATTCTCGAGCACAAAGTATAACGATTATGACGACGACGACAGCAATGACGACGACGACGACGACGACGACGACGACGACAATAACGACGATGACGGCGATGTCATAACTAGACTTTGGTTTTGTTGGAGTAGTTAGTTGATTAGTTGAATTCGTAGATACTACGTGGCGTGGTATAGAAGTATTATCATGATCAATATCACTATCAGAGTTATTAAACTTATACATGTATTGGCAATGGTTTCTTGGTTATTATAAATATTAACTTTTTTGTTGAATGACAGAGTACGTAGCGCTATATCATTTGTATGTTTTTCACGTGAAAATTATGATTTCCAATTACGTACATGATTATGTATTATTGTTATCGATTTTGTCTTTAAAATCGATTCTCAAATTTTAATCGATTATTAAATTTTAATCGATTCTTTAATTTTAATCGATTCTCAAATATTAATCGATTCTACAAAATTAATCGATTCTCAATTAATCGATTCTAGAGAATCGATTCCTATCCCTAAGCTCATCTCAAGTAAAATTTAATGGTGTTCCATTGCCTGTGTCAATAACCTGAGTACGTAACGTGTAATCATTTTTATATTTGGAAAACAACGCTCTGAGACAAATTACGAGTGTGATTTTTGCAAGAAAATTTGAGCATGAATAATAAATAATAAATAACAAATACAATTATATTTTATAAGTTATCCTACAAGCTAATAAGAAAATAAAAAATAAACCGTCAAATATATAAAATCACTACTTTTGAGTGATCAGGTCGTTTTGTGATTAAGCTTGCCACCAGTAATTGTTTTTTGCAAAGTTGTAGTGTTGCAACTTATATGTTGTAATTTTGTAATAATTATGGCCAGCAAGCTGATCGATGATGCAAAGACCTCTATACTTATCATTATCATTACCTTTAACATAACTATGAAGTACATTACATTTGAATGAACTATGATAATCCACTGTAGGGTCTGTGCCTGCTTTTACAACGATAACTGTATGATGCCATCCATTTTGTGGGTTGTGATACTGTATCAAGTCACCTGGTTGCAATTCATTCAACTGACATGTTTTTGCCAAGTTGTGACTAGTGAGATAATTATAAAGTTCTATCACCCTAATCCACGGATAAGAGTAGGGATACCAGACACTATCCGTAGGAATACCACCCGCATATAAAACTTGCGAAGCAAAATTGGTACAATCTCCACCCTCGCCATCGTAATTATGATATTCTGGATTTGGGTTTTGACAATATTGTCCCGCGTAATCGGCTGCTTTTTTTCTATCATAAGTAAGAGTAGAGCTTCTATTTTTAATCCATTTGCCAGAAGGGCACCCAGAGCATGCACTGTCCTTGCAGCAGTAGCTTTTTCCATCACCGGTCCCACAACAGCCGTACGTGCAAGGACCATATCGGCACTTGCTGGTAGCTTTGGGTGCACATTGCCAGATATCACTGTAACAATAATTAAGATCACTAGTAGGGTTTTTAGAACTGGCTGTATGTACCCAAATAAAACATAATAATAAGTCGTAAAAGTAAAGATTATAAAAATGAATTAAAGTATTTACTGAGTTCAGCTCCACAGAAGATACCTCCGACGGTATTTGAAGGGCACGAGCAGCCACTGGCAGAGTAGTCGCAGTCAGCAAAGGTTCCAGAGATAAGGCCCAAGAGGAAAAAGAGATAGTTATAATATTTGTTTGTTTGCATGTTGCTTTTTCTTATTGACAACGGGAATTTAATGATTGACGGTGGAGAGTTCACGTTTAAATAGATTTCCTACATAAGCGAATTTTCTTGCTCAGTGCTCATCGTCATGTCTACAAAGCTAAAAACCATGTTGATCATTTTTTCTTGGCATAAAAACCAAGACAAATTAGTCAATTGAATCGGAGATGTATGAAACTTTCAAACGATCATCTAAACATATGCGGAAATTTAAAACCAATGTACCCAAGCCAATTTTAGACCGCCTAGTCACATAACGATAAAACATGTTTTTTAAAGAATTGAATTCATTAGTAAAGACTTATTTTGTATACACAAACTGGAGACAATTAAGGTTTATCACGCTAAACCTAGATATTTAAGTATCTAATTGTACATGTAGCAACTTCAATATTAACCAATCACATATCCAGAACCTTAACCTTAACCCTAACTCAGATCCTAATTAACAAATTAAAATGCAGTTGTTACAAATACATTTATTCTTTTTGTTTATTTGTCTAAATTTACAAATTAAATCAAATTTTTCCATGCCGATTTTTTAAACTATTTAGACAAATAAACAAATAGATTTTTTCAAAATGTTTTTATCGTTATCGTTAGTCTAGATTTGGCTTATTTGTGTCCAGTTTGTGTAGCTTAAATGAAACTTTGTCCAGTCTGCTGTTAAAAATCTCGTGATTGAATACAAAACTAACATTTTTATATAAATCATCGTTATTATTATCTTAGCTTTATATGATAATTTAATTTATGCTTGACTAGAATACGCAACAATATATTTATTTCCGCAAGCATATACTATACAGTATTGGTTGCGCTACACGCAACAAAATTTTTATGATCCATAAGTAAATTATTTATTTAGTTGCCGACTCGTAAATAGAAGTTTAGACCCTGCGCATATACTTACTCCAAGTCGGACGAATTTATTATTTTCGGTTACATATGTTAACACAAACAATCGTTATTTTTTTAAGCATATCGATATACGTACATGTACATGTACATGTACATTACAACTCACACCACTCGATACTTTTCTCCTGAGCACATGATAAGCATATACATGTAATTAATCAGAAAACCGGTTATGCATGCCTCTGCCAAGACATGCATCGGTGGTAGCACATGATTCACAAAGTGTTATCGTTATTGATTCGCAACTCGGCCAGTACTATTCTTTCTTAAGGATATGAAGTTAGGAAATAGGACCGGGACCCAGGTTCTCGAGTTTTGGAAGGACATGTTCTGTCATCTGATTAATCATGAAACTTCTCAAATTATAATTTGCTTCATATATTATCACAGATAGTGAAACACTTAAAAGTAATAACCGTAATACACTCGCCAAATATATTTCCATTCATATGTTCATTCTTGCATACGGACACTTTCCGATTCAGTGATTTTTTGATATTGTACTGAATTTCAAGGATAAGTATGGAATTACTCTAGTACTGATTTAACAATTTGGTCTCTATGTTTCGCAATATCTCATATTGGCATTTAGCATTAGTGGATTTGAGTGGTAGACTCAAATAATTTCTATTTCCGAAAAATCTTCTGACCCTTCCAATACCAGAGCTTGTCATCTCTTCGATGCATAAGATTATGAAGTTGTTTCAGACAAGAACTCGGTTCAGGTTCTAAAGTACATGTATGAAACGGAAATGTCTTGGTACATGAATTTGTTGATCACTTCCTGACTTGATTCAAGTTCATTGAAATTTGATACTTTCTGAATTTGGTTTAGACTTTGGATACTACAGTCTAACTTACAATACACTGAATTTCTTTTTTGGTTAATTTTGAAATGAAAGAAATGAATTACGTATCTACAGTCTAACCTCTCTATAGTCACCTTCTATGTAATCACAAACTCTATATAGTCACATTTTTTCAGTGCCCAACTCATTATAAATCATAGGAAAATTGACCTTCATATAGTCACAATCTCATTATACTTACATTTCATATTTCCAAGAGTGTGATTATATAGAGATTTGACTATACAAGTGACTCTCGTTATAGTAAATTCTTGTTATACAGTGGTCTCCCAGAATATTGTGGACACTTTTTAAAATACAATAATGCAAAACCAATAAAAAAGCAAGATTTATGATTCTAAGCTAATAGAATCATTGAAACATATTGTACATTGTATCAAAATTTCAAGTGATTTCAATAACTAGTTCAAAAAATATATATAAAAACATAAAAAATAAAATTTAGTATCAAACCAAAAATTTATGTGAAAAAATATTCTATTTTATAAAGATGCAAATATCTTCATACCCAGTAAACCAAATTAAATAATTTTATATCATCAAATTCACCAAGCCAAGATGCATCTAATGATATCAAAATCATATAATTTGGATCACTTGATGCAGAGATATAATGTCTCAAAAATACCATACAAAAATCAGGGTAAAAAATATTTTAAAGAAAATTTTTAAAGAAAACCATTTTTGCATATATCTCTGCATCCAGTGGACCAAATTGGATGATTTTGATATCACTAGATTCACATAAACAAGGCAAACATGATGATATCAAAATCATCTAACTTGGTTAATTGGATGCGGAGATATTCTCAAAAAACTATTTTTTCAAAATATTTAATCCTGATTTTGTACGTTATCTTTGAGACGTGATATCTCCGCATCTAGTAATCCAGATTGAATAATTAAGTTTGATATCATTAGATACGTCTTAACATGAATAATTTGCTGATAAAATCTTATTTAATTTGATTTTCTGAATGCGAAGTTATTTACATCTTTGTAAATAATATTTTTTCGCATAAATTTTTGGTTTTATTTTATATATATTTTTTGAACTTGTTATTGAAATCACTTGAATTATCATAAATCTTGCTTTTTTATTGTTTTTTGCGTTATTGTATTTTAAAAAGTGTCCACAATATTCTGGGAGACCACTGTATAATTGTATTTGAAACAAAAAAGCAACTTTAGAAATGATTCATTTTACAAATTTTAATATGATTTGCTTTTAATCACGTCATATAATGATTTCAACACAACTTCGCGTTCTCTCCATGATCCCAATATCTGCTTATTTAATGGTCCGTCAAACCAGAATGCTAAATGGTTCCAAAACCTCCTTTTGCAAGATATTCAACATTGGTAAATCTTTCAAAAGAGAATCATTCGAATGATTCATTTAGCTTATAATGGTAGTGGATTTCATCTTTAAGTTCATTTTATATACAGTGTTTAATTGAACTTTTGAAATGACGATAAAATAAAAATATGCGTGGAAATCTATTATTATTCCTCTGTTTGTGTTGTATACGTTAACGCTATTTATGAAAAATGACACAGAAACATGCATTAAACGATGACAAATAAATCAGGAATATTAATGATTATGAGCAAATTAACGTATTCTCCCTGGTTTCATAGAAAACATCTAGAAACCATTGTAAAACAATATACTAAGTGTAAAAGCTTTTCAAAAATTGTGAACATGCTCCGAAGAAAGTGTAGTCAAAATTTAATGTGTTAGTTTGGGGGTAGGATGTGAGCTCGATGCCATAAGGAATCGAGGCAATATTGAAGCCATATAGAGGACGGGTAATGTATTAGTTAATGGTAAAAAAATTTAAAGCAGAAATGAAATAAATCGACATTTTCATTTTTTAAAAATACTTTTTGGGGGGTACTGTACATGTAATTACTATAAAAAGTTGCCTACAGATGATCTTTACGTATATGAAAATTGCATCATATCGATATCAAGATACATGTACATGTACAGTAGTCAAAAAGACAAGTCGAGGACGAAATGTGAGACGAAACAAGCAAAATGATACGTACAACTGTTTAATTATACGTACATGTAAAATCAAAAATTATTTATATGGATTTACGTACTACGTACTGTTACGTAAACTTTTTTAGGGTATTAACTTTTCGATCTTATCCATATTTGAACAACCAATGGTGTCAAAACATCGCTATCGCTATACGTAGATTGCTTTTGGGCTTTGTACTACATGTAGTTCACATTCAATAGTTAAATGTAGTTTAATTCCACGAGTTATACTTATTTGCAATGTACATATCGGTATGTGTATTATGATCAGCTCTCTTTATAGCGAAGTATCCGCGCGTTTTTCTTATACGTATCGATATCGATATTATTAATGTTGGAATTGTACTTGTATTAGATGTCATTTTGCAAATTTGAATTAAAAAGAATCTAGCGCTAGATTTATTATTTCAAGTAACGGTAAGCAATAATTTAGACAAATATCGGTACATGTATTAAGGATGTACGTAAGTCAAGAATTTCGAAATGCATCTTTTGTACATGTATCTTTACATACTGATACATTCAAATTTGCACCAATCCTAGCGCTAGATTTACTAGAAATAAATACATGTATGTACACGTACGTAGTTTGTATCATAGAACATACATGCATATACATGTACGTGTGCTTCTTTTACGTACATGTATCAATATTTTCAATCGATACTAACAATACATGTACCTCATTTCTTATAAATAGGTGCTCTTTTAAACTTGCTAATGCTAAGAAAATTTTCGAAACATCTCGCGCTAAAAAAAAATGAATTTCCAATACATCAATCGGTTTCCTGCGTTTTTGATCGTCATCCTCTTTTTATCCATTGTTTCCGCAGCTCCTATTCCGATACAAGTACCTATACACGTACCAGTCAACGTCTGCGGAAATACTATTAGTGTTGTTGGTATTCTAAGTCCAACCTCCGGTAATACGTGTGTAAATAATTGATAACGGTTCTCCATAATAAACACGCACGCTTTTATTACACTTTAAATTTATCATCCTGATGCAACAAGCAAATGGTATTATAAAGATGTATTTTAGGCAAATAAATAATAAGTGCACTAAAATTCATGTAATGCTATTATTCTACTTATTCAGACCAAGCTAAAATACAGAAGTTAAAAGAGCATACGTATATCGTACCCTGTTGGAAATAATGATATCGATATCTGATGAAACTATTTTCATAATGATGAATCCCTGACGATTGACAAGACCTGTGACGAATGACGAAATCTGTGACAATTGATAAAACCTGTGACGAAACCTTCTGACCAATCAAAATGATAGCTTAAATCACATGATTATTGATGAAACCTGTGACGAAATCTTCTGATCAATCAAAATACATGTAATAGCTAAAATCACATGTACAAATCCTATTCTGAATTTTAAAAGAATGTTACACATTAGAAATTTAATAC